CCCCAAAACCCCAAAACCCCAAAACCCCAAAACCCCGAATTTTAGGAATATTATTGAATATTGATATAAATGATTGGAAAATTTCATAAACCACCAAGAACACCAAGCTCAACATTAAATAAGAGTAATAAAAGTATTTTAACATTCATTATCTTATTGTAGAGCATAGAAAAACTTCTACATATAATAAGAATGCTCTATCGAAAGTTATAAAGGGTAATCTGAAAGATCATCAGTCATTACCAATTAACAAATCGAAAAGTAGGTTTTACCTTTATTCCTGTCGTTCTATCTGGTATAGCAAAATACAGCTCCCTTCCTCGATTACATAAGAAAAATAAGAAAGAGAATAATTCAAGTAAGTTCATTCAACATTTTTGAAAACACTCTTGTGTAGGTAGTCATACAATTATGGAAGAAGACGATCACCTAGTTACACCTTCATGTAAGTTGTTCACATGACATTTAGTAATAAACAAGTCTTCAGGGTCTAAGAGAGTGTCCTCGAATCATCCAAATCCAGTGTAATATTTAGTGATGATGCCTTAGGTTGACACTAGAAATGGCTTTGGCTAATTTTACGAATAATATCTCAGCATTCTCAAATGATCCTTCAGGAAGGTAAATGAGTTGGATCATAATAATAGAGTGAAGAAGCTTAAGGTAAAGAACATGAAAAAGCTGAACAAAGTTCAGATTCAACTTCCACCAGCTCTAAACCTACCAAAGATAGATAAGGTTTCGACCCCATCAGAGATGTCTTTGTATGTATTCTGGTTCCAATTTAGTAGCAAGAGCGATTATGAGGGCCTTGACACAGACAGAGAGATAAGGTACCCACCCTGCTGACCCATAGAAAAATCCTGCTAAAGCAAGCCAAGGTTGTGAACAACAAGACTATCGTTCGAGGTAAGCTCTCAGTTGTAATTCTTAGAGACCAAATCTTCCTTGATCAGGAAAAGAATGGCTAAAGAGAATAAAATGTAAGGCTCACTGCTATCTTTAGGAAGGACTTTGAGCACCATCATGATGTAGGCATTCGGTATAGGCATAAGCTTAACTCCAAGATTCTGGTTCTTAATAAGCAGTGCAATGATGCCATGAGAAGTACCTCGAAGTTACAGAAAATTGTCGGCAAAATCGAAGAAGTTGTAAATAGGTATTTTATGTTCGCTTAATAACAGCCTAGACCAACTTATTAAGGTAGGATAGTGAGTAAAATTGGACTTTTAGAAATCAGAAAAGGAAAGAAAGCAAAAGATTACGCTTAAAGAAGGCATACTCATTCAACTACAGCAGAGGAAGGTAATAGTGTAGTTAATCTGTAGATTAAAAATCGGAGAAATCTTTCTAAAGTTTCTGAACAATTAAGGATGATGAGCTCGACCGATTTGAACAAATATTAGCAGAAATTATCGAATATTAAAAGCTCAAATTTTTTTAATGCTTATTCAATATTTACAATGGCAGAGGGGTTTTGGGGTTTTGGGGTTTTGGGGTTTTGGGGTTTTGGGG